TGCTCTTCTGTCTACAGCCATCATCACCTCCACCTCGACGAGCCCAGGAGTGACCTCTGCGTCCGCAGCCCGGTACATCATCATCCACCATACCACTGACTGTTTTTCTGCTGCTGCTGATCGACACCCGGTCATCTACCTCATTACTCCTCCTGTATATATGTCACTACCTTCACTGTAAATAAACCTCACTGCTTGCACCGAAGCAAGCCACCTGGGTCCGCTTTTTATCTGCTCGCTCACTCTGTGTTTGAGCGCACCCTAACAAAAGCATGAGCAACAGAACAGCCAGAAAGACAGAGGGGCTAATGACAGACACACGGACACGTGAGCTGATGAATTACACATGTATGAGTGTGTATGTGTGGGTGTGTTGCTTATGTTAGTGGCGCTGCTGGGAATTAACACCCTGCTACACAAATTGCTGGTACTTCCTTCCAGTTAGGATTCTACGATTTTCTGTGTGCGTCTTTGGCTGAGTGGATATAATACCAGGGAGATAAGAATGCAGTGGGGAGCCTCTGTGGCGACTGTGTGCAGGAGAGTCAGTGAAGGTGGAGCTGGAGGACCGTCTAGTTCTTAACTCAACGCCATCCAAGAGATCCTAGAGAGAGAGAGAGGCTGTCAGAGTAATGTACTTTCATTTCCTTATGCAGTAAATTAAACTACAAGGTTCCTTCCAAAACAGTTCAGGTCAAGAGCTGGTTAATGTTCTGCTGCTAGTAATCCACTTAACATGACACACATGCACGTTCGTACACACACATTTGCAGGATATTTAGCTTATAATGAATGTTTAAACCTATTTTGGAAGAAAAGTGCAGATTACCAATTAACGTATTTGACAAAACCACACAGTTTTCTTTGTGGGGGGCTTACAAGTCTTACAGTATAGCCAGTGCCGCCAGGTTTTATTTGCTTTCTAGCCAAGAGTTAGATGAGAGGATCAATACCACTCTGCTGTCTGTATGTTAAATATGAAGCTGGAGCCAGCAGGAAGGGTTTAGTTTGGCACAATCACAATAGCAAAAAGAAAACACTAGGTTGATTTTGTCTAAAGGCTAAAAAAACTCATCTAACAGCATCTCTAAACCTCACTGATAAACATGTTGCATATCATTTCAGTTTTCTCTCATTAATCTATAAAAACCAAACTGTCAAAATGGCAAGTTTTAAGGAATTACAGTATGTAAAGGAGTCTGTAAAGGTACTTCCAAAAATGTCATCCTTTTCCAAGCAACCATTGGTAGGAATTCATTTCTATGAACTTGTCAAGATTTGAAATTTGCAATAGATTATAGCCAGATCTGACTTTTTCTAACCTTATACATTTGCTGATACCAAGTATACTACCAAGATACTTCACTGTGCAGAATTCAATTAAATATGGCTGCTGCAGTGCTGACAACAACCATTTAATATGGCCCTGTCATGTCGGACCAATACCTGAGCTCAGTGTCGGCCCCTGCTACTGAGAGCTCATCCATCAGTCAATTTTACTGAGTGTAAATGTAAAATTTCAGAGTAATGTAAAATCTTTACCTCCTAGTCATTACAGTGTTGATTTAAGTCCCATTTTCCCATTTCACGCCAACATCCTTCCCTGATCTTTGCATAAAGCCTTATATGTTACTGTTCCATACTTTTCTTTTCCAAGTGCAGTTACCACCTTAGAGTAAAACATACCTCCTGCGCAATTAGATAAAGAGGTTAAACTGTTTGTTTGGAGTACTTACATGAGAGTATGGTGATAAGGAGCCCAATGACTGCATAAGAGGAAGAAAAATTATCATTAATGTTTGTCTAATTTTTAGAAGACAAGTGTTACTCAGAATCACTATACTGCTACTTTCATTATTGACTATGTGTTTGTGGACCTGTCCATTGCTGTATCGCTCCAGAGTGTCATCAGACAGGTGTGTGTGTGCATGGTCAGCCTGATAAGGGATGATGTCAGGCCGCTGGATGTCATATATGGCTTTGACCCTGGGAAGCGTCACCAACTGCTTATGGTCCAAAACATCACCGTCAGCCTTAGACTATAAGAGAGAGACGGGCAGACAGAGAGAGTAAATGGACACTGAACCATAAATAGAAAGGTGGAAATACAAATTGGTGCGATGACAACAACAAACACCCAGACATGCTGTTTGACAATACAAAGACATACAGATACATACAGTAAGACACTGAGAAGGTTTAAATACTCAAATGCCTTTAAATGACAATAGACCAATTTCCTATACATAATGAAAAAGCATCTCTTAGAGCTCTGACACTGACTTCATTCACGCTTTTGCTTTTGTTTTCACCTGAGAATCTTATAACTTTGTGTATGAATGGACAGTGTCTTCAGCTGTAAAGGAAGGGCTTAAAATTCAGCATATCATTATTATAGTGAACTTTTAATGGGCTTTAGTGTGCTGCAGATGCCTCAGTATTAGCAGTCTTACAGTGAAGCAGGAAGACAGATGGGTGGTGAGACAAACCAACAAATGAGGACGCCTGCACGGAGACAGACTGAGCTGTCAGGGACTTGGTGCTTCTGTCTCTGCTGATTGTATTTGATTGACGGCCGTGACCGTGACAGCTGAAGGTGTGACCATAGTGGTGATGGCGTAACCACGGTGACAGCAGTTACTCACACAGATGAGGTGGTGAGGAGAGCCAAGCAGAGGAGAGAAGCCCGGTGGAGAAATGGACGCCGTCTCAGAGGTACGTCTCAGCTGGGGGGTGACAAATGGAAACGTCAGAACGAGACTGAAGTCAAAGTAAACATTTTAATCCTCTCTCCTCACATCTTATGCTGGCAGGACTAAGACACAAGGAAAGGATGCAAGTGAAGGAAGTGTAGATGCAATTATGGACACTGGGATTTACTAATGGAAATACCAATGAAACCTTCCTGAGATCATTTGGTACCTGATGTCCTCTCCAGTGTGTGGCTGTCATGACAGAGATCAACTTTAACTTGAATCACATTATTACATGAATGGCAGCTGAAGGCCCTGTGGACCCCGCCTCTCACCCAATGTCACCTGGGATTGGCTCCAGCACCCCACAACCCTCTTCAGGATAAGCAGAGATAATAGATGGATGGATGGCAGCTGAAGTTCATGAAACTGAACTTGTGTGTACTTTTTTTAATATGGTGGCCACTGTGTTATTATGCACCAAAGCACCAATCTCATATTTAAAAGCAATTTATTTGGCAAGGGCAAGCTAAAAATAAGAAGCAACAAATTGAGAGTTCCTCTTAAACAATACTGCATTTATGAAACATATCACACAGAGAGCTGTGGAGAAACACAGAGGACAGAAACAGGAACAGTGAGAGGAGCCAGGGGTTATGGGTATTTTGAGAATCACTCACCCTCAGTTTTCTCTCCAGCCGAGCTGCTTCTTTACACATGGGGTGCCAAACCTCTGAACCTGTAAACACACACACACACACACACACAGCTCAATTCAATTTGTTTATTGTGCGTGGGCAGTGGCCATGACATTTTATGGGATCCTATGAAAAGTAGATCGGCCTTTCTCAAGTGCATCAACATCAATCAATGCGCACGCGCACACACACACACACACACAGAAGGCTGGGCATAAACCCTGTGGAGGTGATCTGTCTGGTCTGAGGACAGAGGATGTAAGTCTTCTCTACACAAATAAACAGAGAGGAAGACAGAATGCTAGAGAGAGCACATTTAGCCATTCGAGCAGCGAGGCTCTCGGGATGGCAACATTGCTCAGTCCACCACTTTGGTCCAGACTAAACATCTTAGTACATAATGGATAGATTGCCATATATTTTTTAAAGACGTTCAGTCACTAGAGGGTGAATCCTACTTACTTATTGGTGATCTCCTGATTTCTCCTCTAGTACCACCATGAGGTTGACATTTGTAGTAATTACTGTAACTATCCAACTAACTAAACCAAGTAATGGCTGACAGGGAAGAGATGACAGATATTACAGTAGCTCTTATTCATAACAATAAACCACTAATGTCAGGATGTTATATGCATGTGGATCTGATGGCAATAATGGCAATAATATATCTGCCCTGCGCACACACTATCATTTTCTCGGGCCTCGGGGCAAATCATGCCAGCCAAACGGACTCATAAGCTGATCATGACTCTAATCCTGTATACAACCACCGTCAACACCATAAATCTGATGTGCACTTACGAAACTTGTGTAAGCACAAACAAACACAGATACACAAAAGCAAAAAAGAAGATATACACACAGGCACTGCACACTCACACAAAATCAATAGGGTCGACAGAAACCATGAGTGGTGATTCAGTGCACCCCCACCCACGCTCCTCAGCTCTGCTGCTGAACAGATGTATGGCCTTGGACTTGAGATCCTTTGTCTCCTGGATGAGGAGAACCTAAACAGTCCACAACAGTGTCGTACAGCAGATCTGAGAAAACCAGCTACCTGAAATTTGTCACAAAGTAACAATTCACAAACATACGCAACTGTTGAGTCTCTGTTTCTTTTATGTAGATGAGCAAAGCCTCAGCTTTGCTTATACAGACGTTTTTCTTAACTTTATGCAAAATTAGGTCAACTCTCATCTTGAGCAGTGGTATTCAAAAGAAGTGATGAAGGCGGCTGGTGTAAACATACAAAAGCAATATTAACACTTTATGCTATTTGAAATTCTAATTCTACAAAGCAGCAAATATTTAAATGGCCTCAGGCATTTTTGTTTTTGCTGAATCATGCTGCAATGAGAAACAGCATAAACATCCCACTAATGTTAATATTCAGACACCAACTGAGTTTTTGAGAACGTAAGAAAAAAGGTAGTGTGCCATGAATGCAGTTAAGCTGTCAGCGGTTCCTGCTGTACTTGGAGGTGAGAGCATATATAAACCACAGTCTTTTGATGGCGTGGTCCTTGCTAGAGAACAGGAGTTTCACCAACAGTAATCTATCCATTTAAATAGACAGTACTGAGCTGAAGGATTTGTGATTAGTTCTCCACCACCTCCAACACACAAACACAGACATATACTACTTCTTATTCCAGACATGCATCATGAGATTGATTGCAAGGGTATGTGTGCATGTGTGTGTGTGTGTGCGTGTGTGTGCATGTGTCGTAATTCAGTGTTTCTCATGAGGGTGATTTCTCAGTCCACCTACATGTCTGAAGTCATCAAAAGGAGGGAATGTAACCTTGGGGAAGCTCAAAACACACACACACACACACCTGCATTAATCTGCAGAAATGCATGCAAGTAGTTACACAGAGAATGACGCTAGCACACATTTAGATGCGTAAATTAAAATGCACACACATGCATGCACAGACCTCAGCTACAATTTGTGGGTGTGAGCAGGAGAGCAGCAGAATGTCAGTGAGGTGAAACAGAAGGAGTCGAGCTGCTCGGCGACTCCTGGACACTGTGTGTCAGTCACATGTTACAGTAAAGTACATTAAATCTGGATTCAGAGCAGTATCATATCATCTGTGTTACACAAAATGTCTTTTATTCACCTGAAGTTAATGTTGCAGCACTTTCTTTGGTGGTGAAATTTTTATTTATTTTTCAATTTTATTCTAAAGAAACACAAGGCCAGTTTAAAAACAGCAGTGTGGCCTGAAAACCAGAACAGTACATTCTGTTATTATGTCGCTCATTTGCATCAGGATCAAGTTTAAGGAAATTCTGCTAAGTTTTAACATATCAGAAAGAAATTTAATATTGTGCAACAATATATGCAAAATGCTGACTTTTTCAACTTGTTCTTCCCACAGTATATCACACACCACCTCAGTCTCAACATTATTTTTAGTTCAGTGTGATCACTTTATTAAACTCGGTGCCATTTAATTGTAGTTCTATATAACCATTATGTCTGAATTTCAGTAAACATCCCCCTGACACAAAATGAGCAGAATTTGTGGATCATTTAGTTTAAAAAAAATATTTAAAAATGCAACTTTGTCCCACCAAGTCTAGCAAGTTTGCTCATGTTCTTATATCCGCTCAACCTGAATCTATGATTGAGCTTTTTAACTTTAATTACCACAATCTAATTTGTAAAAGAGAAGCTCGTGGATTCAATTTGAGCATCTATTTCGCTGCCTGGGTTCATTCAGATTAACTGTGTCAGTGGCAAAGCTGAATAACAAACACAGCAGCAGAGAAGGTTGAGAGGTAACTGACTCCATCCTTTGTGTGTATCCGGAGAATGTAGGGAATGAAAAGGTGGTTGGAAGTGTGTGTACTGTATGTGTGTGTGGAGTAACAACTGTCATATGTGAGATCAATAACCTACATAACAGTACTTTCAAATTTTAAAGCAGCCATTTATCAGGGGGCTGTATCCTAGGTTTCTCTAACTTACTTTCTCCCTTTTTCACACACACACACACACACACACACACACTTCCACAGATGCAGAAACACTCAGGCCATCTGGATACTTGCAGACAACAGCTAATTCAATAGATGCTACAAATTTATTTTTAGGCCTGTTGACCGCACATGCGCAGAAGCACCTGTGTATGGCCACAGATTAACAAAATTAAAAATCTAGCCTGAACCACTTGCCCAGTTCTCCTCATGTCTCATCTCCTCTTTTATCTCACCTGTAAGGTACATTTCCTCTCCTTCCAGGAACATCATGTGACAGCGGGCACACCTGGCACAGCCGGGATGGTAGTGCTTCCCTCCAGCCTGGAGGACAGATAGAGAAGAGGAAAGGGAAGGGAAAGGAAAGGAAAGGAGAGGAAGGGAAAGGAAAGGCAAAAAGAAGCAGGCACAAATGAGGAAATCAGAACAGAGTGGTGATAAGAAATAGAGAAAAACAATGAGAAGCACAATAAGAAACAGAGAAAAAGGAATGAAAAGGGTAGCAGAAATGGGAGAGTGTTTCTTTGTTGGTTTTCCAGAGCTGCTTCGTCATCAGTCAACACTTCAGTCATACAAAGAGGGACAGCTGCAGTTTTTTTCCTTTCACAGCTTTTTATGGTCGGACACACATTCATTCACACAGACAAAATCAGGCACATTCTCACTCTTGTTCCCATCTATCCTAAGCACACATTTTCACACATGTATATAGAAGTGCACAGACAAATGCACTCACCTCAAGCACTCTGCCGCTGATGTACCCGTTACAGCTTTCACACCTGATCCCAAACTGTGTGTGGTAGTCAGTCTCACAGTATGGTATCCCGTCCCTGCCAGGGACAGAAATAAAGCAGCTCTCTGCCAGTTCATCTCATGGCTCTGTGCAACTGCTCCACTACCATTTATAATGTTCCACATTGTCTTTTAATGCCTGAAACAACTGGAGCAAAAACAACCAATTCCTAAAACATTCACAAGATATTTCACTGCGACTTCTGAACATGAACTTTTGAATAAATACTGAGGATGTTCTTCAGTTGATTTGACCGGTGTACAGAGCAACTGCTGGAACAAATCCTGCTTTTTGAGTAGCTTCTATTTTTTTCACAACTTTTTCTTTTAACACCTGTTTATTATCCTGATTTTGCGGATTTAATTTTAACAGCCTAAACAGTGAAGAAGATCTTTTAGAACAGAATATGTGGAAACCTTGAGGAAATCTTTGATATTTACTCACAAGTACCTAGAAATTGTACATGAGGGATCAAGCCACCTACTTGCTGATGTATTCTCCAGTGAGCGCACAGCCGCACGTTCGACATTTAAAACAACTGACGTGCCACTGTCTCTCCAGCGCCAGCAGAGACTGACCCTGTTTGATCTCCTCCCCACAGCCTGCACAGTCTGAAGGAGGGGAGAGGAGAGGAGAGGAAAGGAGGAGCAGGAAATGCAACAAGCAGAAAGCAGCAATGAAAGATAAGAGCAGCTTCAGATAGTTTTTCCAGTTCATCAACCTTCCCCTCTGCCCCTGTGTCTCTGCTCTGCCAACCTCTTCACTTCTCTCCTCCTTCCCCTCTCCCTCTCCTGTCAAGAAAGTCACATTGTCTTTGCCAGATGGAGCTACCAGAACTAGGCAACAAGACAACGTGGAGCAGCAAACCACCTTCTGTGTGTGGGTGTGTAGCTGCAGGGAAGGTGGCTGTGTTGTACAGGGTTCATCAGGTGTGCAGTACACTTTTTATTTTTCACCTGCAGGGGAACAATGTCTTACATGGCTGAATCACAAAGATGAAACTAATTTCAATTAAATATCAGAAGCTACATCAAGACCATGGATATTTTTTTATTCTAACTGGCCATAGCATGAATTTCAGTAACATTTGGTAAAAACAGCAGTGTACAGCTTTTGTAAGAAAGTTTGTGGGGACCAAATATTTTTTGTAAAAAGGCTCTAACAGTTTCACAACCCAGAACAAACCTACTGTGGTAAAATAAGATTTATTTCAAAGCTGACAAAAATGTACCATCTAGTTTCTATTTACACGACATGTAAGACTTGACTGCATTCTTCCTAAATTTGAAAAAGCAGCAATTATGTTTTGATCTCTGGCAAGAAGCCATTATAAAACTGAGGTTTTCAAAAATACCACAGCTGACTTCATGCATCGTTTCTGAACACAGCTCATCACGGACTATCCTTGACATGTATCACTGAATGTCACATAACTGCTAATGGTTTGCATTTGTGTGCATATATTAGTGTTCTTACAGCTTGGTCCATGGACCTTGACCGGTTTGTCACTGCTCAGAGAGTGTGAGCATTGCTGACACACACACTTCTTTCCACAGAAGGTCACCCTGTCGCCAATCGGGAATGGACTCCTGAGAACATACACAAAGGAAATTATTGTAAAATCCTGTAGATTGGGTATTTCAGAAACTTAACTCTGTGCAACATGCTGTAAAACATTTGCAAGGTAAAACTAGGCCCGGTTTGATGCCTGTGTTCAGGTTTATGATGATTTTACTAATATTTGCATAAGCTGCCAGCTTCACCTTTCTACTTGTACACACTTATGTTTGTGTGTCAGTTTCAGTCTGAAAGCACCTACACACACACAACCACTTTTGCCTTACTTGCAGATGCTGCAGACGAAGCAATGCGAGTGGTAAGTCCTCCCCAGAGCAGACACCACCTCTCCAGTGATGTACTGGTCACAGCTGTCGCACTGGGTCCCGTAGAGCCGCTGGTAGTCGTCTGTACAAATGTACTCGCCAGAGTGGTGGAAGAAACCTGAGCGCACCAAGTCACAGCCACACACTAAAAGAGATGGATAGAAAAAACTTGTAATTCATGTAAGTCAATGTAAAATCCCCACAAACAATGAAAACACGTGTGTGTATGTGTGGTGGTTGAAGGGGTGACGTTCTTCAGAGTACAATCTGCTTCAGACCTCTAAAGAGTTAATACCATAATCTGGTTTGGGGCTTAGACCAGTAACCACCTAATCTATTACTGTAAACAGTATGTTCTGCTTCTCTGCGCATATGAAAACATACAGTACAGTTTGTGTGCCTGAATGTAAACCTGGTTAATTTGTACCTGTATGTGTCCAGTTATAGATTACAGTTATATTTCTATGTGCATTTGTGGAGGCAGTGTTGTGTGATGGCTGCATATTCTGGCAAAGAGACTGATGAGTGCGCACAGATGCACACGCTCTGTTTACTATACAATGACAGCATGATGTATGGCTTTTATTTAGCAAAAGTGTGGCTTCTATTCAGCCAAATGATTGCTTCTGGTCCAGCTGTGCTCCGGGAGAACAGGCCTCCACTCAGCTGCTTGGTTAGACAGTTTAAAAGTAGCTAAGCAATGATTTGCGGCACCTATCAGGGAAGCAGGGGGCTTTCACTCACCTCCCATCAGTCGTGCTTCATCATTTTTATAACATGTGCCATTTGGTGGAAAATCCTCTTATAATGCCACTAATGTAAACATTTGTACCATGCATGTCCTCCTCTAGCATATCAGTAACATGCTTGACCCATTCAGCTTAGCATGAGCCAAAACATTTTCGCTCTTAACCTGTAGTGTACAGACGCAGTTGGTGGAAGTAATACCTGCAGTGTACTGAGTGGCATCATGAGGTCCTGTTCTTTAGGTCCTGTAAATTAGATATCTGAAAGGCAGCCAGCAGATCAAGATATCTGACAGTGCAGTCAGTGCCTGGTCTCTAATTAAGCTAATGGCTCTAAACCCAGTGGAGTGAATGCATTTGATCTAATCTGTGCCCGTGTGTAGTGGCTCAGATGGCAAGAGAGAAACTGTAGAGTAAGAAAAGCAGTGGAGCTGCAATCATTTTTTGTCTATTGGAGGCAACTCGAATCCATGAAGACAGCAAATCACATGAATCATGTGTTTTTTATTTAGAAAACCTTTGAATGATGGAATCATGTTATTGTAACTTTCAATTCCCTTGTAGTATTATGCAGATATTAACATTTCATTGCTGTTCACTGCATATTGAATGCCTGGCACCCTTATTTTCAAACGCCCATGACTGTTGCATAGAATCAATCAAAGGCAAGTTTATGTGTATAGGACATGACAAAGATAATATTAAGTAAAGACAATATAAAAAGATACATATTATCAGCATTCTGATCAACTTTTTTGGAGAAATCTGTAAAGCCATCATTACAGTATTCCAGCCTACTGAAGCCAATGACATTGACAGGTTTTATTAAATCCTGCAAAGACACATGGTAAGTCCTTTACTTCTTGGTCTATTCTTACAGTGGCAGAAGGATGATGTTTCCTTCAGGGAGTTATAACTGAATAATCTTCTAATGCTTTAGTCTGAAGTTTTACTACATTTATTGATATAGGGGGGGAAACAAGGTTGAAGTGGCTGAGTATTAAGAGTAAAGATTACTCCACTCATATACTGTGGACAGAGGTTTTATACTGCCTCGGGCTCCCACAGACTCAGACATGCTCGTGCCTGAAGGCGGTAGCTGCATTCACACATTCATCACTGTCTAAATGAAAAGCTAGTAGGATGTGGAGGAGAACATGAAGGAGAGGGAACTGTTCACACTTGGCCTCTCTGAAGGGATTTCAAATTTAACCAGTATGCTAATGTTGGACTCCTGCAAAACAGATATTCATACTGTAGCTACACAAAGGAAGAAGCTTTGATTGATCTGAATGATTTGATCTGACTTTGGTAATTACCTGATTTTTTTATTTATTTTTTTCTCCAGCACAAGCACAAAGTTGACATTTGGTACAGGCATCCATAGAGGGGTGGGTCTAGAAACCTTTGGGCATATATTATTAAGAATCAAATTGTTTTTTGTGTAAAAATGAGACACACATAATGCTTTCTTTAGCAATGTTTGGCAGCACTCCTTATTTACTCTCAGCCAGGGAAATCGCTGCTGCACAGTGCACCCCAACCAGAGCATATGAGCAGAGTTTAGTGGTGAGAATTTGAGCTCCTAGCTCATGGAGCTGTTCGCCCTGTTCGTAGCCTTACATCCCAAAGAACTAAAGAGCAGCAACTACTTTTTTCCAAACAGAAAATGATTTGAAATTACAGTTAGGCCTATGTAACAAGGAATATAACACAAAAAGTCATATGTAAAATTCACTGAATCATTGGGCCTAATTAAATAAAAATATACAGTACACCTGTATGATCTTTCAGTTTCCTATTTTAGTAACTCAGTTACTGAGCTCACAATGGCTGATTTTTGACTGAAAGGTGTTACATGACTGTAAGACACAGATGCATTCTGGGTCAGGCATGGTCATACTTCAGGCTCGTGGTGTGATCAGTACTGGAGTGAAATTGAAGTGGGACATAGGGCTGGTCAATCAGATTCTGGGGGTGGCTAGTTGCCAGCCCATGGCACCCCCTGGATCTGCCCATGCATCCATATCAGCCTCAGGTTGAACAGTAGCTTTGGCAATCCCATAGTTATTGTCCATTGGGTTATCACTAAATAATGGCTCAACTAATAGCATTTGCATCAACCTCATCTGTACTTAGTGCAAATATTAGCAAACTAACACACTAAAGAAATATGGTAATTGTGGTAAAAAATAATACCTGCTATACCAGCATCTTTATATTTGCATGCCCAACCTTAGCATTTACCTCAAAGTACAGCTGTGTCTAAGTACAGCTTCACTGAGCTGCGACAAAGTAGGGCTGTAGACACTGGGTCAAGAAATGCACTAAGATTTAGTCTGAGCCTAAATCATTTCATGAAGGTACAGATTTAATTTTACAGATTTATAGTGCAATTATAATAGAAGCAGAAAATGCCACAGCAGAATATAAATGACCATGTGCCCTCCTGCCATCCATCCATTATTCCCTCTCTGGCACTTGACATTTTGGTTTTTCATGGACAATAGAGGCAAATTTTCCAACTGTCAACCTGAACTTGCTGACCAAAGGCTAATGTTGAAATAGGTCAAAGATGTGCCAGTTGTTTCCAAGGCAAGACTTTATGATCCCATGTGACCTCACCCTGACCCCCCCTGTTGCCCCAGATACTGAAGGTTTTCTAGTGTCTGTGTGCTGAAGTGGCAAAAGCCAGACAGTTCCCATGGAGCCAGAAGCACCGCGGCAGCTAAATGAAGTCCAGCAGCTCAGAGACAACAAAGACAGCAATTAGTCCTGCTTTACATAGCGACCAAGTTATGAAGAAGCCTGTCTTGCTCTTTTTTCTACTGTTTGTGCAGTGTATAATATCTTAGAAAGATCCTTCAAATGTTCAACTGTAGCTCTAGAGGCAGGGCAAAGTAAGAGGAGGCTTGTAGAGAAAGCTAACAGAAAATAGATTTCAGGGCAAAAATAAAATAAATACAATTTAATAAATAAAATCATCCTCCTTCTCCTCCAAATTCCCTTCTTCACTATCTGCTCCATCAGTTTTATCCTTCACTGGCCTCCACAGGGGCAGGTTCATCCGTAGTTCATCTGAGGTACTGAAGAATTTAAATATGGTTCTTCTACATCTGGTAACAGATGTAGAAGAACACTGAAATGTTTGAGGTCTGGACACACACATACACAATTGGCACAAAGACAGGAGATAATGATTTATTTGTTTACTGCCTGTGGCTGGAGGAAAGGGTCAAGGGAATGATAAAAGAAGCAAGGGAAAGATGTTTAAGAAAAAAAAGATAAATAAAAATGCAAGAAACAAGAAGTCCTGGATGCCTGAAATAAATGTTGATTGTCTCAACTTTCTGATTTAGCCTCCAGAAACTGAGAAAAAGCATAGTGACCCACTGTGCAAATGCCTATGCAAGGACAAACATACTTCAGACTGTCATTGAAGTGTCTTCTGAAGAAAGAACCAGGCCATCCATGACTGTCTGTATGAATGGCTGAGTGTACTCCAATGATAAACTACAGTAGCTGTACCATCTGAACCTGGTACGTTTTGCTTCTAAAACGCAATTGTATCAAATGGTTCACACTTTGCAGTATGCTTTTACCAAATCCTGTTGACAAAGTGAAGCAGTACAGTTATATGATCTATCTAAATAAAATCAGCATGCCCCTGTACATCAAGAGATAATATAAGGTCATAAATGATGTATATGGCTCAATTTTCTGGTAAAAAAAAAACAGAAAAGAAATAAGGGGAGAGGATTATTTTATGGGGGCTGAGACGAGACATGGAGGAAAAAGATGAAAGGCAAAATGGGAGTCAAGGGAGAGATTAGTGGAAGCTGAACAGAGAGAATGCACCATGTGAGGGGAAAGGGAAGTAGACAGCAAGTGAAGGGATATGGAGGAAGAGAAGAGGAGACAGGATGACCCAGGGGAGGTATCAGTGAGACTATTGATCTGTCCATCCAGCACACATCTGCCATCCCAACACTGTCTTCCCTCATCCGTTTGCATCATCAACATGGGATGAATTTCCTAGCTGTAGCTTCTCTGTATTTACATGAGATCATGTGATCAGCATGGGCGGATGAATCAAAGAGGGGGAGAAGGGGAAAAAGAGAAACCAGTCTGTAGTCCAATATGACGGGTTGTGTCACATCATGGATTTAGGCCATGTTGTTCACACTTTGTAGTTAAGTATTAACATTTGTATGTCATTTTAGCAGTTATGACTACATACTGTATTTGCATACCCAGCATTTGAAATGAGGACAATTAGCCAAATGCTAATATGCTTACAGTGACAATGTTCTCGTGTTAATGTTTAGCAGGTAATGTTTACCTCACTTACCACCTTTAACGTGTTAGCATGCCAGCATTTGCTAATTCTCCACACAAAGTAAGGATGAGGCTGATAGGAATGGCATTAGTTTTGTATGTAGTCCTTCATACACCAAAGTATTCAACAAAGTGAAAGTATGACCTACATGAAAAGGTATAAAAATTTCTACAGTTCCTCTTGAATGCTAACAAACTCTATGAAAATCCAGGATGTATATTTTAAGTCATACCACCTTAGTAAGTCATAATATGTTACCCGATAAAACACACCTTGACTCACAGACAAGCACACAGGGTTGCTGACTCATCAGTCTCTGTTCAACTCTTTCTAGTCCTCATTTCACAAGTCTTCTCTCCTGTCCACTCTCCTCTCCACGTTCCAAAGTAAAAACCCTCCTGTACAGTCACACCAACCGAAGAATACACTATTTACCAAACAAAGACGCACTGTGACTCGCTGCCACAGCTACAAACAAGGCAGTGACAGAGAGCAAGAAGAATGGAAAGGAAAAGAAAACAGACGCGCCTGTGTACTAAAAGTGATGATTTGATTCACATCCACTTTATCAGCTGATGTCTACTCAGCACATAGTCCATTAGCTAAAAGTCATTAGGCTTACTCTGCAACATTAATTGTCTATAATAATAAACTGGCTTTTTTAATATCAACATGAGAACATTTTGGTCAATAAATCTGCATCTGTCCCATCATTACGACAAACAATCAGTCGTTAAGACGATCAGTATTTCAGCCAAACAAACAATCAAAGCACTTGTTTCTGCTTAGGTTATTTTTAAGATCTGCAGTGAGCAAATGGTGCATGAGATAAAACATGGTGTTTAAAACAAACATAGAAACCCAGCTCTTTTTTGCTTTGTGGTTGAGTGCATTCAGGCGAAGTTACTGGCAGATCAAACAGAAGAAAAAACCCAGTGCTGTCTTGCAGTGTGCTTTGGGACTGTGTGGGTCACGGCCTGTGAAAGGAGGTTAGCTGGTTGGAGTCTGACTACGTGCTGAAAACCTGCTGACTGCACTGCTAAGCTAGCTGCTGACTGCAGATGTGTCCCACCTGCTCACTGATGGAGCTCGAACATGCAAGACATGCATGCAGCAACAAGACAGTCACACAGAATCATGCTGTGAGTGTGCACGTGTAACTACATTGGCATGCGTGAATATAAAAAAAAGAATTCTATGAGAGGAGGGTGAAGGAGAAGCACCATGATTTACAAAATGCCTCTCATTTTTTCAACTCCATATTTGAATACTGCTACAGTAGCTGGCTGGTATTTCATTTCAGCTTTACAGATCAGATACTGTTGGACAAAAACCTCCTACTGTACCATCTCCTGATGGGTAAGAGCTAGTGTAAAGCTACATAAAACACATCTCTAGCCAAGTGTGTGTACTTGTTTGTCTCATGTTCCCCCACTCCTCCATATATCATGTTTACAGAGGATCTTTGCACATGTCACAGTAGGAAAAGCAGAGGTGTAAAAAAATTTAATAAATGATGGCACCTTCTGCTTCAAAGTCATGTTATTATGCATGGTGGTTCATTGTCATGGTTTATTTTGACACCTGGACGAAGCATCATTAAGGGTATTAGCAGCACCTGTGCTGTTCCTGCTCGGGCAAGTCAAAATGTCTGCTGTGGAAAAGGTCGATGCTGCTTAATCTTGGACACCAGGTAACTGATGACCTGAGTTACCATCTGCTGTTTACTAGGAGACAATAAATTTACCCTTACTAGATGACAACTGCATTGAACTTGGCATGCCATTTGGACGCCCACAAAATTACTACACAATGCCAACATACACCTGGTGAAAAATAACTACTGTATATTGTACAAGGACAAAATCTAGGGAACATTCACAACATGTGGTATTGCACACGATATTCTTAAAAAACACTGCAGCAAACCAGCTGGCTTGGAGCTGTGCATGTCATAGCTGTTATATTTCAGATTTTCACCTTGATAGTAACATTTGTTTGATGACATCCATGTTTCTCATTACAGATATTTAAGTTTTGTGTCAATATTTCAGGTTATTTATGTCAACAGCATGGATTCCTAACAAAATATTCTTGTATGTCAATCAGAGTGGCTCCATTTCTTTCTGTGTCTGGTCATGGAGCTGACTGCTATGCCTTATTAACTACCAATAGAGCATGTGAAGTTACATCGTACCATGTCAAATGTCGGGTGCCATTTTTGGAGGTTTGTTGTTGTTTTTTGACATTACACATGTTGTTCAAACTGGTTCCCCAGTGGACTGCCATGATGGTGTCGGAGTTGCTGCTGATATATGTAGACAAAACTGCAAAATCTCTAATGTTTAAAGAATCAAACATTGCCCCACCTTCTGTTCTCTGTGGAGATATCATGTCACTTTTTTTCTGGTGACACCAATGTCTAATTACTAATGAATTAATAAACTCTGTCACTGAGTGCCTTTTTTCTTATGTAATACACTTAATATGTGGCTCAGATCCTGGTAGAGTCACAGTTTCTGTTTCAGTGAAGACAGAAGCTGTTGCTGATTCAGTGTGCTGGTTCCTGCTTGTCTGAATACTGGTAATTATTTAATAATTAACTATGCAAATTGATGTGGGTGGAATCCATGCATGGTAACCCATGAGTTATTCCAAGACTAAAAAATAAATGAATATGAAACACTATGTGGGAGGGAAGGAGAATGTAAGCAAATATGAGTATATGGTCATATGTGAGGAATTGTCAAATGTACAGATACAGAAGCAGTTTTGTGTGTGTAGGTGTGCGGTGAGTTTTCCTACCTTGGCAGGTGAAGCAGTGAACATGGAAGTGTTTCTTCTTGACTCGCACCACCTCTCCACGACACACCTCCCCACAGTGCGCACACACGATGGGGGAACCTCCATGACTGGAGAGGGGAGAACTGCTGCTGTTGCTTCCTCCGTAAAGACCTGACTGGTACTGAACTCCTGGGAGGAGAAGGGAGGATCAGAAACATTGAACTTTGAACCCTTTACCTTAACATCTAGTCAAAGTGAAGCCAAAAAATATGGAACGACTATATTTATGACTATACTTGACTAATCACTGCTCTGTTCCTTTTGGATTCTCCAGTTCTAGCTTTCTTTAACCAGAGAGCACAGCACACTAAGAATGGCACTGCACATTGCTACTGGTTCTTTGTGAATTTAACACGCACTACCAGTAGAAGAAAAGGATCTCAGTGGGATTACACTTCTTTTATCCTCTCTTATGAAACTGGTCAAATCCCTCTTAGTGAAACAAGTCCTTTCTTTGTGTTGTCTGACACACACACACACACACACACACACACACACACACACACATATGTCTTTATGCCTTTGTGTGGCCCACGTTCTGTGACTTCTTTGTGAGGGCCACCACTTCTACTATAGCTACAATGGTGCAAAACACAAATCTATCATGAGGTGGCAATAGAGAATCAAAATGTCACTTCAGAATTCAGAAAACTCAAAATAAAAAAAATCTTTTTCTTCTACACGTGTGAGGACCGGAGCCTGTTGCCAAGCAGATTTGGTGAACTGGACCTTCTGTCACAAAGCACCAAAACACTGCATGTTATATCACCAGATTTTAGCAGATCTTTCATAACTGTCCCATCTTACTTCTCCTGGTTAACCCAAACCACAGCATTACAGAGGGGAGGGTCAGTGTGAGGGCCCAGAGATGATAAGAGCCTGGCTGGAGATGTGTGGTTCTCCATGGGTGGAGCAGAGTGCAGCAGGGCCTGTTTGGGACTTAAAAAAATTAATGATCTGTGGTCCTCGTACGCAATATTGGGACTTAGAAAAATTTCTGTTCCCACACAGTGTAATACCAGAGGCATGAAACTCCATTTGGAGTACCGGGGCACAAAGTTGTGGCTGGGCGGTTTTAAATTGTTTAGCCCAGGGAGGGGGCTTAAGCGTGAGTACACAGGTTCAACCGGTGCGTGGGTGCCTGGAGCGTTGGTTCAACAGGGGAGCTAGCCGGTTCCTTTAAAACCACTATGGAGCTCCATTCCCGGAGTACGCCCTGGTGATAAGGAAGCATAAAGTCCCTGGGGCTTTGGTTCAGACTATTTCACGTAGGTTCAGGTCAACAGCTTTTTTTTCCTTTTGTCAGTTTTCTTTTAGTTAAAAAAAATCTAAAAAAGGGTCAATTTGACCTGGACGCAACACAAAGGTTAAATTTGATTGTATTTACATCTATTTAAAGATGTATTATAAAAATGGTATGCATCTCTGCATTTAAAACTGGGTAGTTTTGCAGACATCTAAACTTTAGGTTTTTTCAATCTTACATGTCACTTGCTAAGTTTGCTTGACACCAGTAACACTGAAAGCAATGTTTGTCAAAGTCCTCTAATCGTGATTTAGCTATTTTAATTCGCCCACTCTATTGATAAAAGCTTGATAAACAATTTAGCACACAAAATTAGTCACAACTGGCTTTATTTGCACAACATAAATTAAAAATGAACTACAACAATTTCCTTTTTTGAGACATGA